TAATAGCCAATTCTCAGCGAGAGGTTTTCGTTTATAAAATTTTATTGTTGTTCTCGACTTGATTTTTATTTTATTACCTCGTCTCCATAGATTCTATTTGCAAATAATCAATAATATTGTAGGTCCATTTTATTGTTGTTCTTTCTACGTGCCATTATAACACATTTTCATTTCATCATTTAATTTCTGTTGTGTATATATTGTTGTATAAACGAAGTTTTATAATAATGGAATGTACGAAAAGTGACCAGAAAAACGGCGCTAACTCGGTAACCCGATTTTAATGAAACTTGTTTTATTCTCATTTAATTACAAATATAGTGGTATTGTGCACTGTTTTTGCTGTATTTAATTATGGACAAGCACACAAACAAACAATCTCAGAGTTTTAGTAGTATATAGATAGATCATTATGTTTTCAGTTTAAAAAATAGCAATAATAACAAATCAAAAACATTTAATCTTTATATTTTTGTATTTAGGATGCATATGTGTATCACGAGCACATGTGAACAAATGCTCAACACGCACACATGCATCCTCAGCAGTGAATGGCTTAAGTTACTAAAAGTCTACTTACAGTTTTATCAGATCAAATACAACCTTTGAAAGTTAAGAAATAAGATCTACTGATAATACCAAGGGTTGAGTATGTTATATTAAAACGTTTTTGAATATGCAAATTATAGTCATGTGACAACTATGGTCTATCTAAAATTGTCATGGAACAGCATGTATCAGAACTTCATTTTCACATTTGTAGGTAGTGTGATGCCTCCAAAAACTGATTGCTTTTGGAAATGGTATCAACAGTTCTTTCCAGGACAAAACATTCATTCACTCAGATCATAAAGATGTGTTCAGATATGATTTCAATATAAACATATCTCTTGGACTTAATGACATTGGAAAACAAAGGAATATATGGATAATTCTATGGCACCAGGGCCATCCAGAAAAAGACCTGCAACAAGTTGTACCTCAGCTACGGTAAGCAAAATGCATTTTCTTGTAACAGGTGAGAATCCAGAAATACAATGGTTACTGGTAAAATCTGTCTATGTATTTCACGTAACAGTATACAACATACTCAGGAAGAATTTCCATCTGAAAAAACAACAAAAGTCACATGTACACAAGTTCCTTCCACAACATATCTGTTCAGCTGTCACATACCTCATGCAACTGGATTTATGTGTGACCAGGCTGTTGAAATGGGCACTGGGAAATAGCCATTATTGTACACTACATAGATTATGGAAAGCCAGCAGAAAGTTGTGGTGTGTTTTGGACATGACACCCTTATGATGGAGTGTTTTGCAATGGAATCTATGCTGCAAGGTTATTGTCAAGATGCATGATCATCAGAAAGAGCATGACCAGACAGTGACATGAACTGTAATGATATGGTGAGGCTTCAAAATCATTTGACTAGCTCTGTATTTTGACTAGTTTATATACTACCCTTGAAAATTAAGAAACAGACATTACATATACGAGTTTGAATAAATAAGATACTTCCTTTGAACACAGAGAAACACGAACTATTGACAGCATTTTGACTAGCTAAAATGCTCATTTACGAAAGTTAAAAATAAAAGTTATTTATAACAATTTCACAAATTGAAACATTTCCTACAAAAATTCAAAAATACTGATAATGTGACAAGCTAAAATATTACATTTGGAAATCAAGTGTTGGAATATTTTTAGAGGTCAACAAAAAATTTCTTTTAACAATCTGATTAGATGACATACTATTGTAAAGATTAAAAACATGGTGTTTATTAGAGGCTTTTTTTTTCATTAAATTAAAATGGTTTTGGTCATTCCTACAAAATATAATAATTTCTTATTCTTACTACAGGTGCAATGTCTAGTCTAAAACCATTACATTTTCATCACTGTTAATTTTTTCATGGGATTTTTTTTGCATTATGGTCTCTTAAAATTTCTAAAGGTAAAGTACAAACTCGTAGGAACATAATTTCAAACAAACATAGACATATATACACATGCCAGGTGTTTCTAACCTACTTTTTAACTTCAGTACAGCCTAGTCCCATGGCAACTCTCATGTAGAAATTTGCTGAGTTTGGAGAGAAAAGAAGAGAAACAACTGCCCTTTGTTTCCAAAGATCCCAACAAGTTGTTATTCCTAGAGCTCGAAGCAACTGTTCTTGAACTGGACCAATTCCAGGTACCTGTTATAAAGACATGGTTGCTCACAATCAAACTAAATAAAATCATGTACAGTTTCTTCATTATCACAAGTAGTTGAAAGTTAAGATTTCAATTGCACTAGTAAATTTTGATATAATCAGTTTTACAGCTATGTAATAAACTTAGATAAGCTCTAATTTCCTGCAGATCGTACGGTGCAGTTGTGATGGGGTGGTTCGAAAGTATTTCCAAGGTAAATATCTCTTTAAAATTCATTTTAATTTTAAAATTTTAAATCCAAATTAGTAATCTCTTAATTGAGCAGGGATTATCATACAAGTTGAAATATCAGAGTAATGTGACTATCATTTCACACGTGTCAAAATTATTGTCGAAAACATTCAAAAGCTCAAATGGCTAACTTAGTACCAAACTAACTTAGTTTGTTTTGATTCTTAACAAATTATAAGTTAGTATTCTGTCTGTCACTAAAAAAATGTTGAGAATATGAAGGACAAAAATACTTATTTTTGATATTTTGTAATCCCTAGATCACTAAAATTGCCAAACTTAGACATTTAAGACTCATCATGAAAATGTATTTATATCTGAATAATTTACATACACCGATATTTACAGCATTATATTTTTGATTTTATTGGAGCCTTTGTTGAGAAAATGAAGTGAACAAGGCTCCAGTGAGAGAGCTGAAATCTCACAACATACAACAAAGTTTGACATAATGAATGTCCATTTTCAGTTTCCTGATGAAGTCTCTGATAACTCACATCAGAAAACCAAATTTAATGTAGTGCATGTCAATATAATTTACTTAATTAGAATTAGGTTTAAGTTTTACTTATATGTGAATTAAAGTTTAGGAATTGTATGTTTCTGTTGTCAGTTTTTGGACATCTTTCTTTTGCAGTTTCTCACCTTTTGCATCTTTTAAAATACATTTACGATTTTGCAAGAATTTCTAAGACATTCACTAATATGACTATGAACCATACCATAAACAAATAAAATGAATAACTGTACAGGATTTCAAGCTCCATAAATATAAGAATTCAAATTTATAAGAAATCAGAACTGTTATTTAAGTACATTGTACTTCAATTACCAATTTTATATAGTGATTTGAAAATTATGACATATATATATATTATATAAAGGTAGCATAAAATTTACCATCACATTTGTGAAAAATTAATTTCATGTGTAATAAAACGATTATGTCATCTAAAAGCAAGTCTTCGGTAATTTATCACATATCAAAATGCTAGGATAGCAGCTATATCTGAAAGCAAGGTTAACACAGGCTTTGACCATTTACTTCTTCAGACTGTTCCTTCTATACATTGGTATAAATAATAAAGACTAGATTAGGTAACATGCAATTTTATATCTGGAAAACAATGGTGATTAATATACTTCTGTTTTGACTTGGGCCGACAAACCTTGTAATGCATAGTTCTTGGACGCCTGCAAAGTCAACTGAGACCAGCACACAGAGCAACTTGACCTGACTTTTGGGTGTGATAACTTGAGGTGCATCACAAAATATTATCCTAAACCACATACATTTCTATTGTTTATTATGTTTATGTATATCTTTGTAAATACATATGTTTAATTATATGCCTATTTGTTTTCTTAATTTATTTTATACTATCTGTTTATATTAACTTAGAGCATATTCATTTTTATTAAATTTTCAACATCAATTATTACATAGATCTGAAAATACTGGATTTATATAAAAGATTTTGAAACATCGATATATTCAACCTGAACATCATCTTATGGGGTAAATGGGAAGATCAAAGACCATTAATTTTGAATTATCAACCAGATATAGCAGTGTAACCGCAGTGCTCTTAGGGCTACTTGTTGGAGTTTCAATTATACTGCTGATTACACCAAATTTATTTAGTTGAGGATTGCAGTGGCGAGTGGAGCTCACAAGTCGTTAACTCAAGGTAATTTACAATTACAATAAAGAAATGGATTCCAAGACTAACATTGAACAAAATATAATAACATTTATTAAATCTTTCCACATAGTTTACACTGTTAATATCAATACTTGAACATTTACTAAACCGTTAGTATATTTTCCACCCTTTTAGTTAACTAAATAACACTATTACTCAATACATATAGAATAGCTCTCTCTGGTATAAGCATTAACTACATTAACTGACCAAAAGAGATGGCAATTTTCATACTTACAACAGAGTTGGACCAGTATATTTCTAGAGATAGCTTCTGGAGAACTATGATTGTTAGCTCCAGACACAAGTTTTTAAACCATATTTTCTTTGTATTCTTTCAACCTTCCAAATAGTATTCCTAACTACCCACAAGTAATTCTAACTCTTTATTGGTCAATTAATGCAACTCCTCAGGTTATTCCAAAACAAGAACCAAAAATCTTAAGTAATTGGTTACTGTGATGGTGAGTGCTCCGGTTGCCTTTTTACTTGTACTATTACACTGGTCTGGAGTAACATCTTGAATCAAAGCACCAATTTCAGATGTTATCATAAACTTTTTAGTAGCCTTTACTGTACCACTAACTCGGCGTTAGTAATTTATCATTATCAGTCTTACGGCTAGTGTTTTTCTCAACATCTCTGTTATTGCTTCATTTTTTATAACTCTTAACTCATGATTCTCAATACCACTTAACCAGCTGGCTGTACTTTACTTGCTCTTGACCTTATTTCGTAATACATGCGTCTTTACTTACACCATTCCTTCATGTACATGTTCACTTAAAAACTCAGATAACCGTTATAACTTATTTCTTAAATTCTTTTAAAATGCTAAAAATACTGAAGGAATTGTAAAATTCCCTCAGAAATATCCAATTGCTTCAGCAGTACCTGTTGCTGCAAGGGCTTTGTTCCACTATTTGAACCAAATAATGGAATTTACTGTTACTTTTAAATAGATAATTTTAAACATACTAGAAAATGTTTATGCCAGCAGTTACAAAATTTACTAATAAAAATATTTTATAGGTTGAAGTGGCTAAAAGAAAAGGAAAATATTTTATATCTCAGCCAAATTGTTATTTACTTTAGACTCTAGGATATATGTGGGTAGCATTCACATATTTTGCAGATGTGTTGAATTTTGGCAAATGTAGGTTGTAGAAGTGTCAGAACCACCAGGAACATGCATGCATGCATATCTATATAGCTTAGTTACTGACCCAATAAGACAAAATAATGGATAAAAGTTAAGTTGTTAAAGCCTCCATAACCATAGAATGATACTTTTATTACATGTATAAGTTTGAAAGATATTTCGATAGGAAGTGCATGCAAATAGATGGTTCATCAGTCACAAGTCAAGCTTAGAACAGGGCAGATGCAGTGGAAAAAAGTCTTTTAGAAAAGTTACTAAACAATAGAAACTTTTGAGCTTTTTACCTTTTAAATACAAACAAACTTTTTTTGTACATTAATATTCCCAAACTTAGAAGAAAACAGCACATTAAATCTAGAGAAATCTACCTGAATTTACTAACATGTTCCAACTTGTTTAATCCACCAATTTCTGTACAATCGAAATGATCTGTTGATGAGCCTTTCCAACCAAATGGTTATTAGTTTTAGACTCGTTAAAAATTAAGATTCATTTCCACATATTTGATGTGAAAGAGGAAAAAGTTACAAACTAAGCAGTGAATTTAGTTCAATCAATGCTTTTATTCATAGCTTTAGGTTCAGACAAAGAGAATTGGGTTGAACTTCTATTGTACTTAGTTTAGCAAGATGGCTATGTCCATAGCAATCAAGTCAGTCTATTTGTCTAGCCTTTCACATCATTTCACTGGATTATTGACACAGGTGAGACATAACAAGTTTTTCATAAAATATTATGGAAAAGTTAAAATATAAGGATGGTACAACCATCTCAGAAAACTGTAAAAATATTTTGATAACTTGGGTTATTCTTACAAATACTGAGAACATTTTAGTTCTTCACACCATCTAAACGTAAAAAAAAAGGTGTTGAACATTTTCATTAACACAAACCCTGATTGGTTGTACGCATGCCTGATTTCTATACAACATTTATTTTATGATGTAATAATAAATCTAAAACTTGATCAACATGTGTTATTGGGTTATACTAGTTTTGGAGAATTCCACTCCTCATCAGTAACCCTGAACACAAGTAAACCTAAGAGAGATAAGCTGGACCTGTATCATAGTGAAAAGTATCAAGCATACTGTTGGTGTGAACGTAGTTACTATGAGAAAAACCTATACATTGGATAAGTGAAGTGAAGAAAAAGTGTCATTGGCTCCCATTCAGTTATTCTCATTATATATTAAAACTTGTGTTCAGGGTTACTAATGAGGAGTGGAATTCTCCAAAACTAGTATAACCCAATAACACACGTTGATCAAATTATAGATTGAACTGGATCTCTCTTGAACTTAAACTTCAAAATTAAACAATTTTTCAGAATACTATGTGGTAGTGGTGTTTGGTATTTACTGCTGCAAAGCAACTTGGCTATCTATGCCAAATGAGTAAAAACATCAAGAGTAAAAGACTAAAAAATAAAATAAAAATAAATCAATGTAAAAGTAAACAATGTACAAAAAACAGCTAAAATGTTAAATGCATCAAAAAAGGCCAATGACCTGTAAAAAGCTAAAGACACAATCAAGTTGGACAGTGTCACCATCGTCAATGACACCATCCAACGTCAAAGGTAACCTTCTATAAAATACTTGTCCAAAATGGTGGTGTCGCTCATGCTCATAACAATGAAATGACAGTAAAATGTGGGCAATTGTGACTTCAGTGTCACAACGGCTACACATTGGTGGGTCCGAACCAGATAAAAGAACTCAATGAGTTAAAAAACTGTGACCAATGCGTAGCTGTGCCAAAACAACTTCCTCCTTATGGAAACTAGACAGCCAGAGAAAAACCGTAGGTTTGATCTGGAAAAGCTTGTTATGACATTGTTCACCCCAAGTCGACTACCAACCGGTGCGAAGCCAAGCCT